CATAAAATTACACAAAAGAATGAAGCTCAAAAGTATGTATGAAGGATGCCAGGTTTTCTGGACAGCGTGGACTTACTGCCTGGGTCTTCATCAGATTTTAATTAAACCTTCTTTTCCACCTGTCCAGGGCTTGTGTCTGCGCTTGCTCAGCTGGCTGCCACAGGCTCTGTGCTGGAAAGTTACTCTAAACCTATGTTTTTATTCTGCAAGTGCCATTTCTGGTTCAGGTCCCAGAAACACCTGCTATTTCCTCTTTGTGGGAAAAAGGGAACCAGCTGCATGTAGCCAAACCTCCTTGTATTTCATACATTACCCTTTTCCCTTATTTATACTTCTTCCTATCTCTATTTATACCTTTTCCTATCTTTGGTCTCCTATAACTATAAGTCAGAGTATTTTCACATCGAGATCTAGTTTAATCTATCCTATTATGCTTTTTCTATTAAAGAGTTTTAAAATATATTGAAAGCCTTTTTATCAAAAGACAATCTTATATATACTTGAGATTTGATATTTATTGATTTTTTAATCATGCCTTCTCTGTAAACTGGTTTTATTTATTTATTTATTTATTGGTTTCTTCAGACAGGATCTATGTAGTTCAGACTGCTCTGGAACTCACCATGTAGCCCAGGCTGGTCTCGAACTCACAGTGATCCTCCTGCCTCAGCTTCCCAAGTACTGGGATTACAGGCGTGCTCCACAATGCCAGGCTTCTAAACTGGTTTTAGTATGTCAACTTCATAACCTTTTGTAAGTTGTAGAAGTGGCTTATCCATTGTGACAATTTATAATTACATGTTAATTTCTTCATTTCTTTACATCTAATAGATAAAGCAGTAAGCCTGTGGTTGACGTAAAAACTGAATTTTTTTCTAGGAGCTCAATTTCTGCAGCATAGTAGTAGGTTTGAGTTTTCTTTTAGAAGAATAAGGAGCTTCAGAAATGTTCATTGGTGCATGCATTAGGCAACAGACCCCTACAAAATACTTGACCTTTTATGTCAGTTGCTAGCAATTAAGAGTTAAATTAAGAGCATTACATTTATTCTCTTTAGGAACCAAGTGGGGGAGAGGTCATGGACAGTGAGAGCAATTCACTAAGGCTCTACTATTTTAACCCCTGAGAGGCTCATGGAATTCAGACACAGGGAGAGATAGAATATGGAGTCGGCTGCTCTCAGACCAACTACTACTATCACGACAGGTCATCCCCTCTTCAGCCTCTCCTGATCAAAGTTCTTTCCTTTCTTCTCAGCCTCATCTAAGTCTTATCTGTCACCTTCAGAATATTAATGTTAGTGAGGCCCTTGGGTAATATCTAGGTCAGTCTTTCCAGTATTACACATGGGGAAACAGATCCAGGAGGAGTAAGGTCTACACCCAAGGCGTGAGTCACACGAGCAGTAGGACAATGTAGTGACCTTCGTTGGTCTCCCTGAGCCTAGGGGTGAGAAGCTCCTCTTTGGGAGCCACTGGCATGAGTGCTGCCCATGGTGGCAGGAAAGGAGTTGGCAGGGCCATTTACCACATAGGTGACAAAGGTGCTTGGTCCCTGTGAAAAGTGTGCACTACCCTTTCAGGCTCTCTTGCACGTAAGAGTCACACTGGTTTACACATGGGCTTCTGGCTCCACTACTTGCCAGTCTGTGTAACCTGAGGAGGCCGGTTGGACAAGAGCTATGGAGCGATACCTAAATCAGGTCTGAAGCGGTTCTCTCCATGGGCCCCACTGAAGAACCAAGGCCCCTAGTCAGCATTGTCACGCCTCAGAGCCTTGTCTGTGTTTCCCTGGATTTGAACGAGTTAAGCCTTGTTGTCATATTCTCAGTCCGGCTTAATAGTAGATGACTAGGAGGAGGCCATTTTAATGTGTGTAGGGAGGAGACAGAGACTGTGTGGAAAGGTTGATGGGGAAGTTGGGTAAGAATTTCAAATGTTTTATATATAGTCATAACTGAGTTATTTATTTTCCTTCCTTCTGACACAGGGAGAAAGAGCCATCTATAGTGACTTTGCCCTATGGTTTGGGGGTTAGTGGCCTTTGGTGACCTGTATTTTCTTTGTATGTGACAAGTTGAGTATAAGGATGCACTTGTGTACAGAAAAACTGTTTAGAAGTAGCTATTACAGGGTGGTATGAGGCTCAGTGGTAAAGTGCTTGACTAGCATGTACGAGGCCCTGGGCTCATTTCCAAAAGTAAAAGTAATTTGATTAATAATGGACATAAAAGTGGTGGTATTCATTCCAGTGCTAAAAATAAATGGAAATTATATCTTTACTTTTAATTTAGAGGTAAAACAAAAAAATGCAGCAAAAATTAAGCCATGTCTAAGTGATATGTTCAAATGTGACACCTCTAAGCTAATGTGGGCAGGAGGAAGTTTAGGATGTGGATATGTGTAGGAAAGTAACTAGGATTAGAAACTTAGACCTTTAAATCGTGCAGGAGGAAGTTTAGGATGTGGATATGTGTAGGAAAGTAACTAGGATTAGAAACTTAGACCTTGGCCAAATCATGAAAGTAACTGAAACTAAGAGTGGATGGTATATGAAGATCTTGAGATGTCATCTTTCCTTTAAAGGGGATGACAGAACTTTGTTTCAGGAGGGTCAGATTAGAGATATTAGGTGGGTGTGAGGGAGAGACTATGATTAGAAAAATTTCCAGCACTCCTGAGAGTGACAAGTCACGGAGATTCTGGTGTCTGATCTGTCTACTACATCATGGAGCTGTCTTTACCTTGGTCCTTGAGCAGCTACTCCTACATCAAATTGTTCATATTTGACCAGGTTCCCTTTTAAAGAAGCTATTGTCCTGATAAAGGGTAAATGACAGGATTTGCTACCACCTGCTTCTTTGTACTTACCACTATATTCTAGCATGAAGTAAAAGCAAAATATGTGGGGGAACTTGGAGAGTGCTGTTCCCTGTGCCTGGTGTGGTCCTCTTCCCCTTCTTACAGTCTGCTCAGATCTTTTTCTTCCATTCCTTGATGCTGGTTTACTAGTCTTCATCTATACATTACCTCTGAAGCTAGGGTGTGGCAGGGCGGGGCCTAAAATGGTCTTGTTTTCCATGGTAAACACAGACATGCTAGTGAAATGTCAGATGCCCAAACCCTTACTTGGTGAATGACCTAAGCGAGGAGCAGCAGGGTAGTTGCCAAAGAAGCCCGATAGCACCTCTCACAGCCTGAGAGGTAGATCAACAGCTCATCCCTTCTTAGGGTATGCAGCCAGAGGAAAGGAAATTGGCCAATATCTTTGGCTCCACTTTCTCAGGTCCCTGTCCTCTAGGCAAATCTGAGTCAGCTTGTAAAGATTTTATGCATTCTGTGAGAATACACATTTCCCATACTGGTTAAAGTGAGTTGTGATGGCTGCATGGGTGTGGAGGCCGGGCTACTCCACCTTAGTAGGTTCATTGCCAGGGGTAGTTGCTTGGCTACTCAGTACCACGTTTAGGATTCATTCTCACTCACACACAGCAGGACTCCTGTGACTCCCTCTCCTCCAGCATCCTGGCTATTGTTGGCATTTGTGGCAGAGAATGACTCTCAGACCCAGAACAGATCCCAGCCTCACACAGGAGTCTCTTTCCACACTGTCCTGAATATTTTTAGAAGAAAAAAGCAATCTATATTTCTTAAAGGAATTATATTTTTCTTGATAGGCAAAATAAGATCTTTAACTTTCACTGAGCACATCTTAATCATGACGGTGTTTTGCAGATAAGCCCTTGGAGAATAATTTTGGAGGGGAAAAAAGTAGAACGTATAAAACACCAGTTTTGTTTTTACCAAAATTTCTCTGGAAATATTTGAAACTGTGATGCTGGATAGAATCGGTACTTGCCAGAATCCCAGCATCTCTACATTGTTTGTTAAGTCCTGACTTCTCAGGCCCTTAGGTGAAAAGGTCAGCGATGCCTTCCATCTATTCTGTTCCCCACAGTAACTTACCAAACCCTCCACGAAGTGGCCCTCAATGCAAAGTCTGACTGTGAGCCACCAGATGGGGTTGCAGTTGAAGGGAGTCTCAGTGAAAGCCTTGCAACTCTAAGTGTGGTCCACAGATCTGGGCACTGGCAGACGCATTGACGGTATCTCAGGGGAGCCCCTTAAGAAAAAGTTTCAGGGCCTCTCGACCAGTGGTGGAGGCCCAGCTGTTTGTCACCATTAAAAGCTCTAAAAGGTTCCTTCCTCATCACTGCTCTGGACCTACAGTATCAGAATCTTCACTTGAAAAATACCACAAAGTGGCATACCCACACAAGTCAAGTCTCAAAATCAGGTGATTCTATTGCAAAGTGTTAAGAGTACGGATGTCTATTACCTTCCCAGTGTATGTACTGTTCAGTTAGCTCCATTGTAACTTTGTATTAGCAATGCTTACTGCACTGAGGGTTTCCACTTCTGAAGGGCAGGTTTTAAAGATGAGATTCAGCCAGTTAAAGGAACCACTTCAAATTAACCACTAGGAGTAAAAACCAGCCCTCCTGGCCAGGTAGTCTCTCTCAGGGAGCAGAGAGCCTACCTCTGATTTCAAACACCCTTGAAACAAGAGGAAAAGATTTCTACTCTCACCTCAGGTGAAAACCGGTGTTTCTAGTTTTTTCAACAATAGACTTGGCTTTGCAGAAAACAGCAGGATCCCGAAAACAAAGCAATCAGGGATTTAAGTGGGGCCTGCTGGCTTCTTTTCTTAATCTATTGGGTAATCTAATGCAAAGGTTTACAAAGATCTGAGTGCTAAATTTCATGAATATTGCCCAGGCAGATAGAAAATTGTTAGTAATGAATACTAAAACTCCAGAAGGTTGTGCTGGAGACAAAGACACTTTTGTGAGTAAATGAAATGGATTGTTTTAAATTTTTCTTTATAAATAAAAGATATATACATATAGACATATAGACATTAACCAAATGCCACTAAGAGGTTCTATTTTGTATAAAATAGTAAATCTATAGTCCTCTATATCCAGAGCAAGGAATCCAAGGAATAGGGCAATAAAATGTTAATGTCTTCATTCTCCTGGTTATTGGAAGATAAAAACTTTTGAATGACCTCACCTTTCACACCAAAATAAGTGATAAGAAAGATAAATCTTACTTATGTAGGATGAAGTAGATGAGTACTCCAGGTTACTGCATTCTGTGAGCGCCAAGAAAGTTGGTGGCATTTACATGGCTCTCAGTTTAGGAGCCTCCTTCAAACAGACAGAAATACACTGGCCTTTTGAGCCTGCATGAGAAAGGAGTATTAAAGCCGGAAAAATACAATAATTATATGATACAAGATACACTGATATTTTAAAACACTGTAGTTTCAAGGCATTAAAACACCTTTGAGCCTCTATTTGCTGATTTCAACTTTTCGCTGCTGTTACTGTCAATGTTCAACAGGATGAAGGCACTACCCTTTGTAATCTCCTTCAGCAAGAAAATAAGAAACGCCCGTTACTCTATGAGGACCGGATAACTGGAGAAGAAGAAGAAGAAGAAGGAAAAAGAAAAGCTGAACTAAACGTCCAAGGAAGGCCACAGGGAAGGAAGTTTGCCGTGGGGTCTTCCACCTCAGAGCCAGGAAGTTGCAGACTGCTCCGCAGCGCACAGATTTAAGGTGGGACAGGGCAGAAAGAGTTCCTGGTGCCCCTCAAACCCAGGCTGAGCTCAGAGCCTGTGTGGAGCACTCGGGGCTGGGCCAGGGCACCTACAGGTCAGAGTCGCAGGGCAGCGAGCTGTGGTAGGGCTGGGTGCTGCGTGAGGAGGCGCTGTGGGAGGCGGCCACCTTGTCCTGCTCCCCGTGGCTCAGGGCTCAGGCCAGTCCACGTAGACGGTGCTGATGCTACTGCGGCGCGGGCCGGCGGAGGGCGCCTTGCGGCAGCGGTGACACCGCTCCTCGCACCAGGGCGCAAAACTGAGCGCCAGGGAGAATCCGCCCAACAGCAGCAAGCAGCTGCCCAGGTAGCCCAGCACCAGGCTGTAACTAACCTGCAGCGTGACCGGGCTGGCGGCTCAGGCCAGTCCACGTAGACGGTGCTGATGCTACTGCGGCGCGGGCCGGCGGAGGGCGCCTTGCGGCAGCGGTGACACCGCTCCTCGCACCAGGGCGCAAAACTGAGCGCCAGGGAGAATCCGCCCAACAGCAGCAAGCAGCTGCCCAGGTAGCCCAGCACCAGGCTGTAACTAACCTGCAGCGTGACCGGGCTGGCCGGGCCGGGCAGGACCTCGCGATCCTCCAAGAAGTGGTTGTACCAGGAGACCGGGATGAGGCTGAAGAGGCCCGCGACGAAGAGTACGACGCCGGAGAGGCCGGCCAGCGCGAAGTGCGGTTCCTTCTGCCAGCAGCGCACGCCGAGGGCCGCCAGCA